TTAAAATTAATTAATTAATTATTATTATTATTGTAATAAGAGTTTAATAAAATTAAAGGAGATACCAATTTATTCCCACTACACAACTTGATATGATTATTGGATCAACAAAAGGTACTTTCAAAGGTGGTAAAACTTTATTCAAAATAAAATATGTGTTATTTATACATGCTAATATTATATAATGTGAAAATTGTACTAAAACATATATATATATATATATATACACACACACACACACACATATAATTACAGCACATATAAATGCATCTTTCATATAGAATATCACATACTCTTTTGTTCTAAAGATTCCTACTTAGTGATTAATCATGAGTCTAATTTTTTCACATTATTTTCATGGTTAATTTTTGTAACATGTGATATGAATCATGTGCTATGGTGTTATTCTTTTCTCTCAAAAGAATATATATATATATATATGTATATTAATTATTTATAAATTATAAAATATATTTTGTATAACTTTTTTAATTTAGTTTTTGGTAAGGGTTCTTTTATATTTTAAAAAATCTCATTTTTACTTATAATTTGATGTTAAATCGATTATTCGTATGAGTAGATTAATTTCATGTCCACTATACATAATTTTATAACTTGTTATATTGATTTTGTCACTTTAATCCAAATTAAGAAAACCTAATCGCGATGAAATATTTTTTATTTGAATACATCGTGGCTTAATTGAACTGAATATTGTAACCCAATCAATATATAATAACTAAAGTCTATTTATTATTAAATCAAACATTATAAGTTTTTTTAACCATCAATCCATAATGCAAAACGATAGACTCTACTATTCTCAATGATATTTAAACACGTAATTTTCAAGTGTAAATTTTGTTTTTAGCCCATTTAATTACGAATAGACGAAAATAAATATTTTTACTTATAATACATTTATAAAGTCATGGACTCTATTATTTGTAGTGATATTTAAATCCGTAACTTTCAAGTAAAATATAAAACTTTCTTACAATACATTTACAAAGTCATGAACTCTATTATTCTCAGTGATATTTAAATCCGTAACTTTCAAGTAAAGTGTAAAATTTTCTTATAGTACATTTATAAAGTCACAAACTCTATTATTTTAAGTGATATTTAAATCTGTAACTTTCAAGTAAAGTGTAAAACTTTCTTTTAGCCAATTTAATAAAGAATTAGTAAAAATAAACATTTTTACTTGATTTATTTTTATTTTTTCTCACTAGATTATGACAATTATCTACAATATTGATTTCCTGGTTATATACAATATTTTTATTTTGTATATTTCTTTTCTCAAAAAATTTTCAAAATAACAAGAACATATATTCAATAATTGTGAGAGATAAGATAAGATCTTAGTTCTTTACCAAAAAATAGTTATATACATGTATGTGTGTGTATACATATATATATATAAATAATCTTTAATGGGTGAATATAAGTCAAGAAAGTAGAGATGGACTAGAATCATGTTAGGGTTTTGTGTTTTAGAATAAAATAGGATATGAGGATCCAATAAGCTCGGGTGGATGATTGTAAAGTTCGATCTTTTTTTAATATTACTTTAATTTAGTTGTTAGTAGAAAAAGAAGAGAAAGGGAGAAGCATGAAATGGTAATGATGATTAACCAAATTTCTTTTGGCTATTTATAGGCTTTGTGGAAATAAAGTAAAAGGCTCTTTTGTTTTTCGAACTTTTTTATTTATTTATTGCGATCTTAATATACACAAATGCATAACTCTCAGAAATTTCAATCGTACTTATATTCATCAGTGTATAAATTGAGTTCAAGTTTTTTTTAATCACTTTTTATTAGTGAATTTCTGACGTATATGAATGAGTACAGTTCATTTGATAAATTCTTATATCTTTATTTATCTCACAGATATTTGAATTTTTTAAAAGTATATGAACACGTAGAAGAGAAATATTTATCTCTACTAAATCCAATATATAAATTTAACTTATTTAATTAACAATTAAGATGAAATAGGATCAGAAACAACGAATAAGAAACACCTAAAGTTTTATGATTGTGATACACATGAGACAATCAAATACGCCCGCACAAACACACACACACACATAATGTGAGAGCAGAGATGTTTCTTTGTGCTTTTAGATTTAAGCAAATATGATATTATGAAAAACTCAATAATAAAAACATCTATAAGTAATAACCTATGCAATTGACATTTCTTAACTGAACAGTCTAATATTTTTTTATTTTATAAAAAAATTGAGAATATTCGAGTCAAATTACTTATTCTCAGGTGTCATCGTTAAAAAGTTGTGTTATGATTTATATATGTATTTCAAATAATTAATATAATATATAAATTTTTATTAAAAAATATAGTACGTATTGGGTTAAGTACACATAAAAAACTTAGCAATAATAAATATACACTTATATAGAGTCAGAACTCCTTATTAACTTCTCCTACTATTCTCCTTCTCCTTCTTCCATTTTTAGTTCTTCTTTTTCCACCCTCTCTTTTTTTTTTTTTTAAAGAAAAAAACCACTACTTTAAGCAACCCTAGTTTCTTTCTTAGCTTTGATTCACCCTCCATGCCTAGTATTCATGGCTTTTTCAAGAAAGCTTACTTGCTTGCTCCATTTCTTTTTCAAGAAAAGGGCCTCTAAGTTTTGGGCAAGTTTTAGGATTTGGGCTAAGCTTTCTTAACGGAAGAACGGGTTGAATGTGTTTCGATAATTAAACTAATGGGCTTGGGATTAAGGATTTCTTAGAGATAATGGGTAAAGTTTTTTTTTTTTTCGAAATAAAATAATAATATTACATTATATTATTACTATAACTTTTTCTTTATTGAATCTAATCATTTGCTAATCTTAAAATTGAGTTACAACCTATGTAACACTCTTACTTTTCTTTCCTATTTATTTTTGTTTACTCGGAAATAAAAATTTCGAGGCGTAAAATTGAATATAATTATAAAAGTAGAAGAACCCAGATTCTAAATATACAAATTTAAACTTAAAAAAATAATTTTTTAATTCTTAAAAAATAAGAGATAGTGGGATTGATCGAGAAAAATCTATTGTTCTTATTATAAGATCGTGGGATTGGATTCGTAGATATTTGATAAAAGGAATAATTTTCTAATTTAAGAATAATTAAAAATAGAATTTACGACTCGTTAGATTGATTTTAATTAATTAAAATTTTAAAAAAAATAAAAAAAGGCTACCAATAAAAAAAATTCAAACTAAAAACAAAAATTTAAAGACCAAAATTAACCCCACGAAAAAAAATCCCTCCTTTATATCTCCAAGTCCTCTTCTTCTTCACTGTCACCTTCCATTTCCCGCGAATCCATCGATCCTTTCCTCCACTCGCTCTCTCCGGACAACCAAAACTTTTCCTTCACTTTTCCGGAAAAATGAGAGAAATCCTGCACATCCAAGGTGGCCAGTGCGGCAACCAGATCGGAGCCAAGTTCTGGGAAGTGATCTGCGACGAGCACGGCATTGACCATACCGGAAAGTACAGTGGCGATTCAGATCTACAGCTTGAACGCATCAATGTCTACTATAACGAGGCCAATGGCGGCAGGTATGTTCCTCGCGCCGTGCTCATGGATCTGGAGCCGGGAACCATGGACTCGGTCAGATCTGGGCCGTTCGGGCAGATCTTTAGGCCGGATAACTTCGTTTTCGGTCAGTCAGGGGCGGGAAACAACTGGGCTAAGGGTCATTATACGGAGGGAGCTGAGTTGATCGATGCGGTGCTCGATGTTGTCAGGAAGGAGGCTGAGAATTGTGATTGCTTGCAGGGTGAGTCTCCGATTCATATGTCGTTTGTCAAGTTTCTTTCTTTCTTACTCGCTGGATCTGGAATTTGCTTGATGATTTTGGAGTAGATCTTGTGAAAATGATGTGGGATATTTATGCTTTTCGTTGAATTTTTTTTTTCTTTTTTCTTTTTCTTTTTTTTTTCATCTGTCTCCGTTTTGGGTTATAAAAATTTCTAAAAATTTTTCTTAACTTGTCTGTAATCAGGAGAAAAATTTCTTGTCTTTGATCTGATCATGTTTCTGTTTCTTCATCGATATTTGTCTTGATAGGTTATCCGTGGATTTCCGTTTTACAAATGGAAGTTTTATTCACGTAATGGTTATATGTATTCTTATCTGCCCTTATATTGCGTTTTTTTCAGTTCATATGTTTTCCCTGAGGTTAG